CTTTGGGGCAGGCAGATGCCTTTATCTCCTGGCTACGACATTTGGAATCTGAACGTGGTCGTGAGTTGCACTTGGTGAAACATGAGAGCCGCTTCAACGATTTGGAGAGTTGGGTCTTTGATGGGAAGAGCTTGCATCATCTTCATCCCTTCTTTGCCCTTCGACGTCCTGGCTTCATCGCGAAAGTGCGACCCACGGCCCTTCGTTTGATCCCGGAAGATGCTTTGCAACTCTACGACGCCCTTAGCCAGCGCAGTGAGCACTTAGAGGACCTAGCGCCAGAGATCCTTCGCTCAAGGATGTTTTCTCTAGTGCGACCAGTGTACGGAATGCGGGAATGACCCCCAACTGAGTACACAACAGCACACAGTATTATCCACATATTTGTTTGCAGCGTTTGGCCCCGACCTTAGAACACGCAGCGAAGGAAAACAAATAAAGCCAGCATTATCCGCAGATTTGAAGCAGGATTACCACTGGGAGATATTAAACCAGAATGTACTGTACATAAATGTATCATTTTCCCTTCCCTCCTACGGGACCAGCTTTTGTGTTATTTTTCCCAAGAATGGTTGGTGGCCTTTTTACCTTTGTCTGGGCTGCCAAGGAGCTATTTTTCATCTTTGCCCACTGGAAGCTGGAATCTGAGCATGCCTGAGGCCCAAGTCTGGGCAGCATCAGTTGCCGAGCGTTTTGATCATGCCGAGCGTTCAACGCAGGCTGAAGTGGTCCAACAGCTCACAGGGAGAGCACATAGTGCGTTGCAAGAGGTTGACGCAGACTTGACGGATGAAGGTGAAAAAGCGTATTTGGGGAACCGCTTTTATACCTTGGTTGAAGAGTTGAGGGCTGCAGACATGTTGCCGGCTATTTGTTTTCACAGTACCCGGGAGGGCTGCGAATATTTGGCTTTGGCCCTCGGCAAGCAATTGGAGAAGTGGGAAAAAGAGAAGCGCAAAGCAGATGGCATCAACGAAAAAGTTCAAATGTATCTTGGCTTACAGTTTTGACGCTACACTGACTATCACATGCATATATAGGTTAACATTATCAGTATCAAACGAACCCCTAGGCCCTATATGGTAGGCTTGACAAGCGTTCTTTGCTCAAAAACTGGAGTATGGGTCTGACGATGGTAAGCAAGGCTCCAAAAGCAGCTTGCTGAACTCGAGAAGCGCCTCGCCAGAGTTTTGCGGCTTATGGACGCTGGCGAAGAACTCACAGCGCACAATGTTCTGCCGCATGAGGATGCAGCACTGAAGGAGTCCGAACATTTAGGTTGGGAGGGGTCAAAACCGTCAATCTTGCGTTGGTGGAGTCGCGGATGAATATCTAGCCCCTTTTGGATTAACGTGCGCCTCAATGTTTTTCTCCGCACGGACTTCAAGACAAGTGTTGCGCGGGTGTTAATCAAAAGGCCACTTTTCTTGACCTTTTTCAACGTCGCGAAGTGCTGAGTGGGAGGGATTTGGGACCCCCAAGAATGTATGATGTATGGCACAAGGATCAGAAACCTGGTTGTCATCGACCAAAATGAGGGCACCGTCCAGGATGTAGATGCAGTAAATGCTATGACAGAGACCGCAGTCAAAAAGAGATCAGACTTTAGGTGTATCGGCTGATGTAGCGCCGCGTAGCGCAGAAAGAGGGGAGTTGAAGTCCTGGGTCAGCTCAGGTCAAAGGTCCAGGTCGCGCAATGAAAGGGCGAGGGCTTGAGCCGCATATGTCCATGTGACATTGGACTCTTAAACCTACTGGTTTGTAGAGTAGAACTGGTCTTCCCCGGGCCCAGCCAGGATCCATGTTAGTTTATGGAGGGTATTCATACTTTGGCCACTTGCTGGTTCAGTGAATTGAGGATTGATGAAGGTGGCAACCAGCCTCAGCCTCATTGCCCCGCACTCCAGGTGAGACACTTCGGTTGCTCCAGCAGATTAGCCGAGAATTTACCATGACGCCCGCTGGACAGACACTGCTTACAGTTTCGCAGTTGGAAGATGAATTTGACAAGTTTAGCCCTTTCATGGAAGAGATTCCACTGCACCGTTTGCTCTTGCGTGGCATCCTGGTTCCGTCCTGCTTGAATGTCCTTTTCCAACATCCCTTCAATAGGGAACGTTGCTAAAGTTCTTGGGGTATTCTTGGTTAAGTCGTTTTCGGCCAGTTCATTTTGTTTGGATTCATATTGTCTAATCTGTGTCAGGTATTGGCGTGCATCATGCTGGTTTGCCAGCTGCTTACCGGCAGGCCGTGGAACGGCTCTTTCGAATGCAACGGCTTGGCATTGTCGTGTCCACCTCCACTCTGGCTTTGGGTATCAACATGCCTTCCAAGACGTCAGTTTCTCAACATTTGTTGTGTAAGCTTATATGCTGTTCAACTTTTCTTCTTGGTCCTTCTTTTTGCTGGTCGCTTTCCAGGTAAGGTAGTTCAACCAAGTTTGGTTTGAGGCTCAACACCGATCCCTTTTTTTGACAGTGCGTCACTCCATACGTTCTGCATCAGAGTCGCCGCAACGATTTCGCTTGGCGAGGTTTTTGCAGGCTCGTCCATCCACTTGACCTCCATGCAGTTCCAGCAGGAAGCCGGGCGAGCAGGACGTCGTGGCTTTGATCTTCGGGGCCACACGGTCTTCTTTGGGCTGCCAGCCAAAAAGGTTCAGAGTTTGCTCATCGGAGAGCTTCCGGTGATGCAGGGCAACTTGGATGACAAAGATCTGATGTTTGTGTGGGGGGAATGTTAAAGGCAAAGAACCGCCCCATTTCGGATCCCTTGCGTTGCCAATCAAGACTGAAGTTCAATGAACTGAGCATCTCATTCTTGGAATTGTTTTCGGTGACAGTGATGATAGCCATGTGCTCATGTATTCCAGGATGTTGTTTCATGGTCCAACTCCACCAGTACGCTTGTGCTTTGAGCTTACACCCCTGATTGGGCCAAGGCAACAACACCCTCACAGCCTCTTTAGCCTTGCGTTTGGCCATCAAAGCACAAACCATTAAGACGGCTTCCAACCAAGTGGCACGGAGTGTGAGTCGGCTCTTGCGGCCGTTGTTTTGCCCATCGGAGAGCATTCAACAGCAAAGAGCCACTGGGCACCCAAGTTTTTGGGAAACATCCAGGAAAACATGAACATGACAAACCTTATGACATGAGACGAGCAGTGAACATGTGTTTTGGTCCGAAAACCACGGACACGTTTCCATGAGTTTCTGGCGTCATGAAGGATTGGAGATGTCTTGACCAGTCAACCCAGGCCAATATGTTTGGCTTCTTCATGCAGCAACTCTTCCGTGACGGCCTCTTGGATTCTGGAGGACAAGCTACAGACTTTGCGGGCTTTGTGGCCCATGTCTGGTGGCAGGAGCCCGGGAACTTTGCCTTGGTGACCCTTCTGCATGAGGGTGGCTTGCTGAAGGAACTCTGTGAGGGCCCAAGAGAGGACTTAGTGGCTGTCCTTTGCCACTTCTTCAGTCGGCGGCCTCTGGAAGGGTGGCTGGCTCGTCGACAGGAGAGGCTGAAAAAGAGGTCCAAAACTTCCATGGTGGTCTTGCCACCACTGCCTGCCAAGCTTCAATCCGTATTGCGATGTCACTCTCAAGAAATGCTTCACGCTGCTGTTGTGCATCTTCAGGTCATGGTTCAGAAATTGCACCCGTCTGATGATACTCTCCCTCTTACCAAACAACGCCCATGCCCCTCTGGCGCTGCCAGCGCATCATCGCCTGCCTTGCGTTCTCCCTTTGCAGCCTTGTCTGGTCATGGTGATAGCTTCGCAAGCTTCACTGAGCTTTGTCATACTGCACGGGAGGACCTATTCTTGAGACCCGAGATGTTTCCCTCCGTGGACGTGGATGTGGAACAACCACTGAATGCGTATTTGCTGGACTTCTATCGGCATGGTCAAGGGCGCGCACTGGTGAGAGACAATCAGATTCCACAGACGGAACAAATCCACTTGCCAAGCACCGGTTTCTTTTTTTTGATTCACCCAATCCTGGAGACCTGGTAGATGGATTACATAGGATTGGGGGCAGGTCCATGGTGAGCCCAGCCCATAAAAAATAGGTGGTGCCACTCAGAGCCAAATTGGGCCAGGGTTCTTAGCAAAATCCTCACATTGTCCTTGCCTCACATCAGGAGTACTGGAACAACCTCCAAGACTTCATGTTCGTCCTCCGTGCATTGGCCTCCGCTGCCAAGCACCGCCATGGCCGTGCCGGAGCGGCGAGGGGTCTGGAGCTTGCCGAAGACGTGGTCGTCTCCAGCCTTGGTGCCCAGACGAAACATCGTCTCCAGCTGGTCAAAGGCAAACATCGGGATTAAGACTCAGCCATGCTAACACCGAGTCAAACGAGGGAGCATGATTTGTTGGATGATGTGAGCATGTCTTTCTTTTTCACCGGCCAAAAGGGTTCATTCGTAAATCATTGAGTTGACAATGGTGGGATATGTGTATTGTGAATTGTCGGGTACTGATGTGTACTTTTCCTGTGACGAAAGACTCCAATCCCTTCTAGCCCAAATCATGGGCTTCCTGTCCCACATAGTTACAACGCCTGACAAATATATAATTATCATTTTGCAGAATGCCAGTGCCGTTAGTTAGCACTGACATGTTTTCACTCAAACAACCTTTCTTTTTGGTGCACCTTCTGTCCATCAATCAGGTGCCATCAGCAGTGAGTTTGAAACTTCTTTCAGGGCGTGCAGGTAATTCCTCACTCCTCAAACCACAGGAGCTGGGTGCTGCAAAAGGGAGCTGCGGACAGAGAGTCAGTTGGCGTGTCTCACAGCTGACATGTTTGTCCAGAAATATAGCTGTCCAGATATATAATATGGCAATATATAGCATATTATAGCAGAATCATTTATTCTATGTTCATGCTTTGAATTTGAGATCTAGATGTACCTACTTGTCCATTCTTTTCATGCCCTTCGCTTTGCATGCTGAACCTCCACCCTCACAGCAGACGTGTTGTTAAGCCTACAGCCGTGAGGTGATCCGCTGCTTCGACGATGCCAGCTTGGAAGCGGAGCTGGGGCTGCTATAGATCCGATTTCGCCTTTTTCCGGTCCGGCATCCCGGACCAAAGGTGGGAAGGTTGGTGACTGGGATGCAGAGGCGGTGCAGATCCGGTGAATTGTGGTTTCTGCACTTGAAAAGGGGTGCACCAAGAATGACCAGCCCGGATGCTTTTCTTTGGACGGTCTTTCGGTATTGTCTTTTTCTGGATGTTGATGGGAGTGCTTTGGACATCCGGGATGTTTTTGCCAAAGATTTGGGGAGTATATAATAGTCCGAGCATGTCAGAGCAGGAAATAGTTTGAGCAAAGGAACACATTTTTGCGGACCCTGACCCGAGTAAGCCCGCCTCCGTCCCCTCAACAGACGCAGGCAAACCGGGGACTTAGAAGTTCCATGTGGATGGGAACAAACTCCTTAGCATCCGAATAGATCCGTACCTGTTCGACTCAAACCGTCACACACTTGTATGAGGACTTGAGGACTTGGAGGAAAGCCCCCTCCGCATGAGCTCTCTGAGAGCAATTCCGAACGATATGGCATATTTTGATTGGGCTTATTGTGATTTCGGGCAACATCTGGAGAGATAACTATATAGTGTAAATTGGTTAGGGCTAGACGCGCTCTTTGCCAAGGAGCGACATATAAAATCATGGTCATGGTCATATATGTAAGGTATAGGTAAATACCAAAATCAAAAGCAACAAAGCAACATGTACATTGGACAACATGAACTCAAAGACAACAAACTCATGCGCAGTTTCTATTTTTAGGACAAGGTTCTCGTAGGTCTTAAACTCCCTTTAGATAAGCTCCACAGCACTACCACTAGATTCCAGATTAAACTACCAACAGCATCAGTCAGTCATGAGCGGCAGAGGAGTGAGGTAAATACTGTAGTTAGTTAGGATTTGTTAGGATCAAAAAAACAGCTGTGAGTTTGGAACCCAAGCATGTCCCACCAGATCAACTTCAAAGCACTCCACCGTTGCGTCGGGCACCTTCACACGCCTCAGCCAGGTGGGCCACGGGGTCCCGGCAGCCGGACCCAAGCCACAAAGTGACATGCATGGACAGCATGGACCTGTTTGTTCAAGTGTTTGTTGAACTTCTTCGGTGGACCATAGGTGAATGTTGAGAATTCAAGACCAGAAGAAACGCTGATGTGGACCAGGTCAAGTTTCATCCAACGGTGCTACCCACGATAGTGCGGCTAGTTTCATCCTTTCAAGCCCTTCCACACTGGTCCACACATGCAATTACCGATGCCTGTCAAGGATCCATTGTTTGCCACAAAGGGAAAAGGAGGTGTTGGTATTCCAGGTTAGTTGGGATTCATTTGGGAATGGTTCCAAGAAGCACGTGCTGGTGGGCCAACGCCACCTGATACACCTTCCACCTTCCACCTTCCACTAGCAAAGCAGTAGGGATTCATGTTCAAAATCTTCAATCTCTTGGGATGCTCCTTCCAGGGAGAACATGCTGTGCAGGGCCGTGCGGTGGCTGACAGATAGAGTTTTTAATCCTGCTGCGAACGACCCAGGGTACGAATGGTTTCTTTGTAACCAGGATGATTGGAATCCTTATAGACTCCTTTTCTCTTTTGCGTCCAGCAGCTGCATGTTGTTGTTCTTTTGATCTGTACCAATGTACTATGCTCGCAGACAAAGCGTTTGTGATGAGCAAGAGCCACGGAAGACCATCAGAAGACCCAGCTATCTCAACATACCCATCAAAATGCATTCAAATACCTAAACTGGCTACCAAAGTGGACAAGAACTACATGAACCCTCAATAGGTTTGTGGAGAATTGACAGTGACCGGGAATAGGTCCATCAACAGTGCAACGCACATTGTGGAAACGTCATGCAGATTGCATTGAAGAGAGTGCCAGTGCTGCAGATGACCCCGAGGCAGCCACGTTTTTGGGGACCCCGTTTTTTTGTAGGATTCATCAGGTTGTCGGAACACTCTCGTGAAGCCTTGGTGGCCATGGCGTGTGCTTTTTCTGTTCTTTTAGTCCCATCGTCCAATTACTAGTAGCATTCTTGCTCCTAGACGGCCAGGAGCCCCTAGTAGCTTCTTTGCTCCTAGTAGCGATGCCAGGAGCCCCTAGTAGCGTTTTTGCTCACACACACACACACCGGATTCCTTGGACGGTTCTTGTTTTGCATCGGTCGTCCTCAGCAGCTCGGCGTGCCGATCGCGGCGGCGGCGCGCATCGGGATGTCGGAGAGGGATAGGGATGTTGGCGCGAAGTGTGACAGCAGCGGCTCCACCTTGGAAGGGGGTTGCTGCTGTTTAAACACCCCCAGATGCTTGACCATAGTAACTTAGTATGCATGTCAACAAAGACTCGGCGGTTTTTGCTTTGTGTGAACGTGGAATCCAAGCTCGTGAGGATCACAGTGATTGAAACTCCCTACCCTTGGGACATTTTTTTTGAAGGGTAGACACTGGACTGGCTCTCCTAAATCCTGGCTGTAAACTCAGCAGCATCAACTTTAACGAATAACCATTAACCATATGCTGGGCTGTTTGTGCTGTAGGATCCCTTGGATTCTTTTGGAACCTATGCATGCTGCTGTTGTTTGATCTCTTAGACCCTCAAGACTTTCGCATTGGGATTTCCTAAGAAACCCACGAAGGATCATCATAACATATCATCACCACATCTCCCATGCTCTATATTTGGCATTCAGTCCTTTTCCTGAACACTCGCATGTCGGTTGTTTGTCTCCAGGGAACATGACCCAAGATGCCCGTTCCTAGTTGCTTGTGCAGCCTAGACGTTCTACTCAGGCGGTTAAACCTTCAGTGGGTGCAGTGGGTATATTTATGTTATAGTTGTCAGATTCCCAAACATTTTACACTACGTGACGTGGTTTCAGTTTTTCACTCAATCAGCTAGAGCCGAGAGCCAGTCAAAGCGCCGTAGCTCCGTGCGACGCCCCACCGTGCGTTGCACACATTGTCTCAGTGGTGCACAGCAGGAGCCTCAGCCGTCGGTGGTCCAAGGTGTTTGCTGCTCCATATGGTTGACTTCAAGAATGAGGGACTTTATGAAAGGATAAGGAGTTATTCTTTCCAGATTTGCTTTATCGTCTCTTTGAATGGTTCTTTCGTGGCTTGATGTGTAGTAGATATGACGAGCGCTTTTGATAGCCAGTTGGGCGGGTACTTGTCGTAGGTGGATGGAGGAAGTCTAAGAATTCAGAAAGAACAAAGCATGTTTCACATACTCAGCTGTTCCCAGTTACAAATTCCCTTGCACATTTGTTCTCTAAGGTTGGAACACGCTCCCCCTGATCCGTTTCGTACTGAGACCTAGACCCCAAAGAAGGCAAGGGTCTAATCGCTCTAAACCTAACCAAAAGCTGTTTCTCTCTCTCTCTATCCCTCTCTCTCTCTCTCCGTCTTTTTCTTCCTCTCCCCCTCCCCTCTCTCTCTCTCTGGTGGTGGTTTAATATCAGATGATCGCCATGTTGTTTAAGATAGAAGATTGGATAAACATCTGGGTGTGTATTTAAACAGAAAGACCTCGTGGCCCAACGGGGGGTTTGGTCGCAGTTTGATCTACTGTAATGCACACCCACATTTGTTCAGTTCTGACAAAGTACACAATCAAGTCTCTCTTGCCCACATGTCCGAGGCCCTTCAATGACCAATCCACCCGGGTTGCACGAGGGTTACTAGCTGAAATCAAGTCGCAGTCCACAAAAAGGTATGCGTTTTCACTGTTGCCCAGGTCGCAGATGACCATTCCATGAGTCGGTGTCGGTGCATTTCGAGCGAAGCGACGTCCAATGTACGGTCGGGAGATTCCGGTGACTTGGGCAGCTTCTAATCACAAGACATCCAGGATGTGGGACCATTTATAGGGGTCCTGGGATGTGGTTTGTTCTATACATATATATATATATATACGTATTATACAGTGTGACAGTGTGTATATATATACAAAAGGACATTTTCCGAATGTTATCCTCAGCAAGAGAGCCGCACAAGAAACATATGTCGAAAGACAACGTTTCTCAGATAGCCCCAGCCTGCCGAAATCAAACCTCGCGTTTGTCTGAAACATGCTTCCTGTAACATGCAATTGTCACTTGACTTGGCACAACTTGAATTCAATTGGATGAAGCACAGATGAGGGGACCAACATCAGCACGGCAGGTGCGGAGGTGAGATGATGTTGTCCAACAAAACCATATAATTAATATATAGTATACGTCACTCAGGGTGCTTTCATTAGTGTTGTGGAAAACACACTTGTTTCAGATGTGCAACTTTTCACCCAGTTGACGAGTCATTCCTTTCGCCCAGTTGACGAGTCTCCTTCTGGGATGCCCCCACCCGACCGTCCACGTTGGAAGTCCAACCGATGTGCCAAACGGCGGTCTTTCAACCCGCCCGACCGGTGCCCCACACGGCCGACTGGGCGGAATGAGATTCGGCCGACTGGGCGGGGGTCAGACCTCGACCAAAGACGAGTGGCCCTGTGCCCGCGCCAGCGAAGTGCTGGACCAACTGGATGAATGTGCTCACAACCTACTAGCAATGGCCTCCGACCTACTAGCGATGGCCTCGAAGCTTCAAAGGTTGTTTCCTGAAAAATGAGATCTTGTACATCTAGCATCATTTAGCCTGAACATGTCCAGGTTGAAGCAACATGAGTGAAAGGCAATAAAAAAGGCACTTGATCCATACTGCTGAGAAGCCTAAAGCCGATAGAGCATCCTGGGTGATCGATTTTGAAGGGCTGTTCGAACCCAGTGACAATTCACCAGACTCCCCAAATCCTGTTGTTGTGTAGGCCAGTATGGCCGCAGTAACAAGAAGTGGTGAATAGCTCTAGGGTGGTTTGGGAGGGTTGAGAATTTTTGATTGGGTACCATTTTGGCTCAAGGCCAAGTGGGACCCATCACCCCCTGTTGAAGATAGGTGGGGGGTGGTGGGAGGGCGCAGGACGCCATGGACGGACTGATGCCCGATAGGGCCACCCTGGACTCATGGACGAGCTTGGTG